TCAGGCGGAGCAGCAGAGCAAGAGAGCTCCACCTCCGAACACCGTCATCCACCTGCCCTTCGTCATCGTCAACACCAGCAAGAGAACCGTCATCGACTGCAGCATCTCCAACGACAAGTGAGCGCATGCCGTGTGTTCAGCTCCGTCTGCTCTTCCCGTCTGACGCAGCTCCTGTCTCCACAGGTTCGAGTATCTCTTTAACTTCGACAACATGTTTGAGATCCACGATGACGTGGAGGTGCTAAAGCGCATGGGCTTGGCGTTCGGTCTGGAGTCGGGCCGCTGCAGCCCGGAGCAGCTAAAGATCGCCAAGAGCCTCGTTCCCAAAGCCCTGCAGCCGTACGTCACAGGTGTGTGTCTCGACTCAGTGATGTGGAGCTGCTTCCAATCATCATAAAGTGGTGTAGAAATGTGATTTGACTTGTGCTGAGCTTCATGAGCGATATTGATTTCTACACTGATATTGTAGAAATGGCGCAGGGTGCCATTAACCAGCTGGTCGGAGAGCTGTCCCATGCGGCCACGTGAGTATCACACGATCTTAAAACATTATTATTTAATAATTGGATTGTTTTGATGGCATTTAAGTAGTGATGCAACAAATACAAATTCTGGGCTGAAACCGAAAATTCAATCTGAATGACATGAAGAAACTGAGACGGACTCAATCCAGAAGAACTGACGCTTCAGCAAAGCTCCTGAGAAACTCTGCTCAAGTGCACTATAAAGTTATACTGAGTCTCCAACTCACACACTGGCGAGCAAAATCTGAGAGTTTATTCATTGGCTAATGTTAGACATCTTTTAGTCGCCCAGAGTGAAGATTTAGTCGCATATGTGAGTGATTTACTCGCAATGTAGAGGGTTGTTTATTAGGTTTGGGAATCGGAAATCAATTCCAGAATCCGATACTTAAGGTCAGGAATCGGATATTTGTCCATTTCAGTTCCACCTATTAATTCCTGTGTGCATCTTTTATTTAAGTGGTGTAAACGTGCTGTTACAAATGTAGCTGTTTGTCTTTGAATCATTCATTCAAGAGATTCGTTCAAAAACACTGATTCATCCAGTAACGAAACGAGTCAATCTTGAGTGAGTCATTGAATCATTTCCATGAGATTTTTAGTTGTCTAATATTTTTTCTTCAGAATTGTGAGAACTACAACCTCCATATAAAAAAAAAAAAACAAGTCTTAATTTATCCAGATTAGTGCTGCTCTATTTTGCACACACACAGCTCTTAATCGAGTCCAGTTTTATGCAGCCGGGTGATTTTTGTTCACGGTATTCAGCAGCAATTAAATGTTTTGCAAAAAGAGACCCTGTCTGTGAAATCCAGGCTAAAGTCTCAAAATCTAATTATGAGGTAACAAGCATCAAAGTTTGATTTCAAACATTAATTTCACTATGATTTCAATCTTTGACATGACCTTACTCAGTCAAATATTAAAGATAATATTAAAGATAATTAAAGATAATTATACTAAGACCATCTGGTAAAACCTTACAGTTAGGTGTCAGTGTAGGATGTATATACTGGTTAGGTTAAATGGTAGGGAGTGGTAGGGAATAAATAGTAATGTGATGTCATACTTTTAAAAAGAGTTTTCAGTGAAGTTTCGAAATTCTTTGGTTGAGGAAACATGACAATATACAGTTAAAATGTTTCACATTTTCGCGCTTGGGCGAGTAATTTGCAGACTGATTTCCTAAATGCACGTGAAATCACCAACATGCCAACAAACCAATGAGAACACAGAACAATAATGACAATTCATAGCAAGAGAGCGCAGACGCCAAAGCTGATGTGGATCCACTCATCTGAATCCCTCTGGAACTGTCTCAGATTTGCAGAAAATTGCAGTTGTTTGGCAAATAAATAATTTACAGACCGTTTCATATGCATTCCCAACATTTTAATTATGCAATTTCAATGTTACACCTCAAATGACAAGGGACTGTTCATATTTAGCCTCAGATGGCTTCAGTATGCATAGTATTTAGATAATATAGCTAATTTAATGCTATAATAAACACAAATGTGACCCTGGACCACAAAATGTATTATATTTGTATATTTGTACAATACATTGTATGGGTCAAAATTATAGATTTTTCTTTTATGCCAAAAATCATTAGGATATTAAGTATTAAAATATAGGATATTTTGTACATTACCTACCGTAAATATATCAAAACTTAATTTTTGATTAGTAATATGCATTGCTAAGAACTGCATTTGGACAACTTTAAAGATGAAAAAGATGATTATTTATTCAGCTTCCAGATGATGCATAAATCTAAATTTTGTAAAATTTACTCTTATGACTGGTTTTGTGCTCCAGGGTCACATATGTTTGGATATCTAAAAGCTAAACTTGACAAAACCTCCAAAAACCTCCCTTTGTAAAACGGGTATAAAAATTAATTAAAGTGTTTTTTTTTGTTGTTTTTTTAAATGCAGAAAGTTTTCTGCAAGGGGTAGGGTTAGGGTGTGGGTTAGGATTTGCTTCTAAAATCTATATTTATCTTTATATAAAAACAATAGAAGTCAATGTAATGTCCCCATTTAGATAGCTAAGTAAACGTGTGTGTGTGTGGAAAGCTGATTTATTCAGCTTTCAGATTATGCATAAATCTCAATTTTGTAAAATTTACTCTTATGACTGGTTTTGTGCTCCAGGGTCACATATGTTTGGATATCTAAATGTTTGACCACATTGGAATCGATAAGAATCGGAATTAGAATTGATAAAATTTTAACAATACCCAACCCTATTGTTTATCCATGTTGTGTGAAATAGACACTGACACGCAGTCAAAACACTAATTAAACATCACAGTTTCAAAAATCGTACTGTTCAAAAACATTTGACTGGTAGTGTATTTTGGGATGAAACGGAACATTTTCAGGTGCATCACTACGTTTAAGTAACGAGAGTTTCTGTGTGCATGCAGTGACCGCGGCGCGTCCAGCTCCAACGGCTCCAGGGTGGAGACACCCACGTCCTACATGGAGGAAGAGGAGGAGGACGAAGACGAGGAGGACTTTGATGAAGATGAGGACGATTAGGACGGGCCTGGAGCTGCTGATTCTGAGTTTGAGCTCCAGAACCCGTCTGGATCGGGATCACATGCAGATTCCCTTTGTTCCCCCAGTTCTTGTTGTGATCCTGCTGTAAGGATTCCCTCAAATGCTTCCCATAATTCTTCAACTCAGTCTATTATCTTCAGTAGCTTATGAGCAGATAAGCTCGAATGATCGTCTTTGTGCTGCTGCTGCTGCTGGCTACTTTTGAAGAGCGCTGTTCGCCGAGGCTGAGTTTTTCTACCGTTCTGTTGTGTTTTGCTCTCATAGGCAGCTATTTTTGATATTGGAGCTTTTTCTGGACGTTTGTTGTGACAGATGCAGCTCTTCAATCACAGACAACAACAAACGAACGTCAAACAAACGTCCATCCTTTTTTGTACAATGTAACAAATACTAAGGAAATATACTTTTCTTATTCATGTATAGACATTAAACTGAAAGAATGATTTATATGCTTGTGTGGTGGTTTTTTGTGTGTCTGAGTGATGTGAAATAACAACATTATTAGATGTTTAAGTGCATTTGTGAAAGATGAAATTAGTATGCAATCATTATTTCGTTAGCAAAATATCAAACCTGCAAGACCCCCTCATTCAACAGATTGAGAAAAGAAAGTTAGGGCTAAATAGCAACAATATGATTCATATAATCCAATAATAATAAGTGTTTTCATGTGCAATAACACTATCTGTTATTATGTTCAGTAAAATCAGAAGGATGATGGCTTTCCTTGGGCACCATTTATTTTTTTTTATTTTTTTTGCATTCATTCAACACCCTACTTGTTACCTTAAAATGCTAAAAATCTAATTTCCATTTAATGTCTATATAATCCTTAAGCGAAGTAAGAGAATTGTTCGTCTTCATAATCTTTGATATGAAAAACATCTTCACATAGAGACTTTTTAGCTTCCAATCAGTTCATTGGGGATAAATAAAACCCAATCCTGCACACATTTTATTGTTCTTCTCGATTATTAATGGCGTTAGTGAAAGCTTTCTGTTGGTTAATATGGCGAATGCATGGAAAATCTGCATGTGAAAATGATTCCTATTGAAATGCCTGGATTTCGCCTGTGAAAATGTGCCAAACAATGAGTTTCTTTCCAGAACCTTTACTTTTTCTGATCCTCTGTGATGGAACAGTGAAGTTGTGCAGATTAAAGCGTTCCTGGAGTGGTCAAACTGGTCTATAGCTCTAAGCAACTTGGCTCTAACCAGCTTGTAGGACATTTATACCAACTGTCTTGACCAGCTAATGACGATGACCTGCTGGGATTTGATGTGTTTGGTCACTCATGTTCTGCAGAACCTTGTATGATTAAACGTGACCCTGGAGCACAAAACCAGTCATAAGTGTCAATTTTTTTAAATTGAGATTTATGCATCATCTGAAAGCTGGATAAATAAGCTTTCCATTGATGTATGGTTTGTTAGGATAGGACAATATTTGAAAATCTGGAATCTGAGGGTGCAAAAAAATCTAAATATTGAGGAAATCATCTTTAAAGTTGTTCAAATGAAGTTCTTAGCAATGCATATTACTAATCAAAAATTAAGTTTTGATATAGTTACGGTAGGAAACATACAAAATATCTTCATGGAACATGATCTTTACTTAATATCCTAATGATTTTTGGCATAAAAGAGAAATGTATAATTTTGACCCATACAATGTATTGTTGGCTATTGCTACAAATATACCCCAGCGACTTAACACTGCTTTTGTGCTGCAGGGTCACATTTGTGCTTGAGAAATTTGATTAATTAATTCTGAACTCTGAATTATAGGATGTTTAGAGTGTCATTGTGGTGAGTGATGTTCTCGCTTCTCCATCAGTGAGAGGTGTTAACTTGAGGAAGGTATTATGGAGTTAGAGGATAAAGCCTTATGAAAGATGTTGAGTCAGGTGGATCTGTCTGAGTGTGTGTGTGTTGCAGGGCTTATTGTTCGCTTTGCCATCAGACTCAAGACGTCGTGCTGGATCCATTGGTCACTGTCCGTTCCTCTGCATCTCATGATCTAATCCCACACTTCTTCTCCGGTGAGGACCAGTCTCACGGCGCTGAGCTCCAATGCTCTCGCTGTGACCCTTCAGCTGCCAATCTCGTCTTGCTCTCACTCCGAAAGTCCCAGTTCAGTTCCTTCGCCTCGCCATGGACATCGGTGGCCTGACGACGGTGGTGGCCAACTCGGCATACATCTCGGCCCGTGGCAGTTTCGACGGCACGGCTAACCCGGCGGCCAACCGAGACAAGAAGTACCATGCCAAACTCAAGCTGCCCCACATCACGGTGTGCGAAGGTCTGAGAGAAACTCTGGATCTGCAGTTTAAGAGCATCTGCGTGGAGCAACCCATTGGTAAGCGACTGTTTCAAGAGTTTCTGGAAACCACCAACGAGTATAAAGGCCCTTGTCGACTCTGGAAGGACATCGAGGCGTATGACACCGCCGAGGATAAAGACCGAGCTCAGAAAGCAGCCAAAATCCTCCAGCGCTACATGGAGCCTTCGGCCAAGCACTTCTGCCCGTTTTTACCCGAGAACGACATCACCAAGGTGAAGGAGCGGCACGAGGAGGCGGCGGATGACCTGTTTGTGCAGATCCTGGCCAGCGTTTTCAACTTCCTCAAAGAGGTTCCCTTCACCTTCTATCTAGAGACCATGTACTTTAAGCGGTTCCTCCAGTGGAAGTGGCTGGAGATGCAGCCCGTAGCCGAGGACTGGTTCCTGGACTTCCGTGTTCTGGGTAAGGGTGGATTCGGAGAGGTGTCCGCCTGTCAGATGAGGGCCACGGGGAAGCTGTACGCCTGCAAGAAGCTCAACAAGAAGAGGCTGAAGAAGAGGAAAGGCTATGAGGTATGAAAGCGGCTTGATGCCTTTGGTTGAGGTTTGGTTATGAGGATCTTGCCATTGGCGTCCAAAGGACTTACTACTGTTTGAATGGAGAGTTAGTTGTCTGTTCAAATTATTGAAATGTAACGTCAATGGGGTTGAAATAGGTTTAGGGTGCTCTGGTGCTTTGGGCCTGAAATGGGTAAATATGATGAGGTGGGTTTTTTTTTTGAGTGTCTTTGGCCGGTTAGAGCAAAACCATTTGAGCTGCTTTTTCCACAAAGTTTATCCGATCTTCACCAAATTTGGTGCAGATCATCTTTAGAACCTTACTGATCAAATAAATCACAGAGATATTGGAAATTTAAAAGCATGTGTTTTGAACCCAATAAATTCAACTGGGTGGTCGCTTGTAAAAGCAAAACCAAACGGTTTTGGTTTAAAGCACAAATGGCACCTTTTCCTCATTTTTTATGGAGATGTCCAGGGTAATAGATATGTATTGCAAGACTAGTAATGATAACGCTTGGATAACAGGATGTGGATCCTGATTGACATGTTGGTTTTGTGCGATTAAGCAGCTCAGACGTGGCATTGATGATGAAGGTGAAGGCTTTACTGCGGGTGATATGCTTTACTAGCGCTTCACTCCAACAAAACGATCCTGTTTTAGATCACAACTTATGAAATGACCAAACATTCCAAATTACATTGTGCTTGTATCAGTTTTGGACTGTTGACTGATTTCCGTCAGAATAAATGATGAAAGCCTCCAGTGATGATAAAGGACATTGAGTGCAGCAGTTCCTCTTCATTCTTCATCAGTATTGATCAGATGTGCACGTGTTTGAGCGTCTGTAAGCATCAGTCAGATCAGTGAACAGCTCTGTGGACCAGCGGCAGCATTAGAGCTGATGAAGCTTTAGCGCTTTGGCCTTCAGCTCATTATGAAATGCAACTCCAACACATTTAATTATGGAACAGATTTGTTGTGGAAATCCTGTACAGGAAGAACGCTGGAGATGATACTGACCGTACGTGTGTGTCCTTGTGTAAATGTTGAACGCTGTCCATCGTGAGTCCAAAGATTATTAAAGGTCCCATGACATGCTGCTTTTTGGATGCTTTTATATAGGCCTAAGTGGTCCCTAGTACTGTATCTGAAGTCTCTTTCCCGAAATTCAGCCTTGGTGCAGAATTTCAGCCACTACGAGCCAGTCCCACAATGAGCTTTCCTTAGGACGTGCCATTTCTGTGTCTGTAGCTTTAAATGCTAATGAGGAGGAGAGAGGCGGGGCAACTGCCATGCTTCGCTCATTTGCAAGCCATGATGTCTCTCGAGGAAAAAAAAAATATTGCACTCGCCTGGCACTGTAGTAGCTCATTTTCTCATGGGCGGGCCAAATTCTCTGGGCGGGCAAAGCAGAGAAAGGGGAGGTAACCTTTCCCCGTATGACGACATAAAGGGAAGATTCCAGATTGGGCCATCTGAGCTTTCATTTTCTCAAAGGCAAAGCAGGATACCCAGGGCTCAGTTTACACCTATCGCCATTTCTAGCCACTGGGGGACCATAGGCAGGCTAGGGGAACTCATATTAATGTTAAAAAACCTCATAAAGTGAAATTTTCATGCCATGGGACCTTTAAAGACCTCATTCATAGTTACAAGCATGAAAACATCATTCACTGACAGATTATTGTGCTGTTTGGAAACAGTCGCTCTTCTGTTATGCATCGGTTGCGAAACAGAAAACTGGGAAATGCATCCTGCATGTGTCATAATGCATGAAATAAACTACAGTAGGACAACTAGTGCTTTGGTTCACATATATAAAAGAGAACATCTGTGTTAGTATACTGAGGTTCTTAAAATCTATTATAAAGCGGAGAGTTCCGGTGCTTGATTCTGATTGGCTGAGCCGCGTTCGAAGCTGTTGTAAATGACTCTACAAAGTAACATACACCTTTGTTTACGTTTGTGTGTTGCTCGGCAACCACTGTATGTTTTGCTCTTTCTGCATGTATATGTTAATCTGGAAAATATGCTTTTATATATACAGTGGAGTCCAAATGTCAGAGCACTAGTGAAAATGCATAATTTTTCAAATCAAACTTTCATTGTAAATGATATTATTGAAAAGTCGACGTGAACATGAAAGAATCATGATGAGATCACTGATCCGCTTATTTGATTTCATATCTGACTCGTTAGTCTCCTTCTGTATGTTCTTGTGTCGAGCTGAAGATCGTCCTTCACACTCGTGTTGTTTGTTCTCACAGGGCGCCATGGTTGAGAAGCGGATCCTGGCTCGAGTTCACAGTAGATTCATCGTGACGCTGGCTTACGCCTTCCAGACCAAAACAGAGCTGTGTCTGGTGATGACCATCATGAACGGAGGAGACCTGAGGTCAGTCACGCACACACAATGAATCACGGCCATTCTTTAGATTGACCATATTATTATTACTTGTATTCTTTCCAGATGTTTTTCTGGGCATCTTTGGCCTGTCGTAACTGATTTAGAGCAAAACCATTTCAGCTGCTCTTCCCACAAAGTTTATCCGATCCTCACCAAATTTGGCACAAATAGTCTTCAGAAGCTTTCCGACACAATAAAACACATAGATATTGGATATTCAAAAGCATGTGTTTTGAACCCAGTGAAATCACCTGGGCGATTGCTTGTATCACGCCTGTTCTTTACATTCAGAGCTCAGTAGCTTTGTAACAGCGCCACCTACTGGTTTAATGTTAAACTTTAAAGTTTCCTCGTAACCTTTGACCCAGTAGGCCTGTTTGGCTGTGATGTACTGCACTTTTGATGATGTCATTGCCCTGCTTCGCCTGTGATTGCTGGTTTCATAATTGTTTTGTGAATTTCTGTACGTATTTTAAAGAGTCTGTGTCATTCTTTTGCAGGTACCACGTCTATAATGTGGATGAGAATAACCCAGGGTTTTCTGAAGCCAGAGCGTGTTATTATGCTGCTCAGATCATTCAAGGACTGGAGCATCTTCACCAGAAGAGAATCATCTACAGAGACCTGAAGCCAGAAAACGTTCTGCTGGATAATGAAGGTGAACATGTTGAAGTGCACCTCTCATCAACATACACGACCAGTTAAAGGTTTTTGGACCGCAAGATTTTTATCGTTTTTTAAAGAAGTCTCTTCTGCTCACCAAGCCTGCATTTATTTGATCCAAAGTACAGCAAAAGCAGTAAAATTTTGAAATATTTTTACTATTTAAAATAACTGCTTTCTATGTGAGTTTCTGTTAAACTGTAATTTATTTCTGTGATGTGCAGCTGTATTTTCAGCATCATTACTCCAGTCTTCAGTGTCACATGATCTTCAGAAATCATTAGTATATTATATGATTTAGTGTGCACACATCTGATGGGTTGAGAGGGGTTTCGGTCACACACACATCATGCTGGTGTTTTCAGGGCACGTCCGTATCTCTGACCTCGGCTTGGCTGTGGAGCTCGCAGATGACCAGCTCAAGACCAAAGGCTACGCTGGAACTCCAGGTGAAAACCTCATCACGTTCAAAAAACATCATGGTCAAAACTCACACTCCAAGAATCTATTGGAGTAGAATCAAGCATATCTTGATGCTCATATACATATACATACATATAAACATTAAAGCAGGTTGATATTGGCTCATGAGTGTTCATTCATAAACATTTTCACCTGTGTGTGTGTGTGTGTGTGTGTGTGAGAGAGTGAGTGTGTGTGTGTGTGTGTGTGTGTGTGTGAGAGAGAGAGTGTGTGTGTGTGTGTGTGTGTGTGTGTGAGAGAGAGAGAGAGAGAGAGAGAGTGTGTGTGTGTGTGTGTGTTGTGAGAGTGTGTGTGTGTGAGAGTGTGTGTGTTTTCAGGGTTCATGGCCCCGGAGCTGCTCAAGGGTGAAGAATATGATTACTCAGTAGATTACTTCACTCTCGGGGTCACGCTGTATGAGTTCATCGCCGCTAAAGTACCCTTCAGGACTCGAGGAGAGAAGGTGATCTTCAACATTCGTTCTCCAGAGGATCTTTAGTAGAATCACATTCATGCATTCAGCAGATGCTTTTATTTAAAGCGACTCACGCAGAACGGGCTTTTGCTTGGAATGAGAAAAGTGCAAGGCCTTGCTCTAAATAACTCATTTGAACTCGAGTGAAGCATTTTTAGAACGGCGTGTGATGCACGAGACGCAGAGACGGTCAAAGGCGGGCGTCTAAGCACAAAACAATGGAACAGTAGCGCGATGCAATGGAAAACGTCTTCTGTGTGCAATGCATTCATTGGGAATCGAACCCATGAGCTTGGCGTTGCGAGCACCATGTGATCTCCCTATAAAGAGACGTTTGATGGCGCTTCTGTAAATGTGAACCGCTCAGCAGATACAAACAGATCCTCCTAACATACACTACACATGAAGCTCCATAGTAAACCTGCAGATGATGAAGTAGAGTAATATTCATGGATTTAATTCATAGCATTTTATTCATTCATTTTAATTTACATCTGCTAGATTTCTTATTATGCTTATTTTGGTGCAGCCCATAGAAACAAATGGAAGAATGTAATAATAGGAATGTAATCTCTCTTCTATTTCTATTCTATATACTAAAAAATAAACTTTTATTTGATGGTACTGTAATCGTTTAATCGTTTGGTGAAGCCGCCACCTACTGGTCAAATGTGTCAATTAGCATTAAAGGGATAGTTTACCCAAAAAATGAAAATCCTGTCAATATTTACTCACCCTCAAGTTGGTTCAAACCTGTATGAGTTTCTTTTTTAGCTATCAAACTCACAAAGAAAGATATTTTTTAACCAAATAGTTGATGGTTCCCATTGTATGGAAGCCCGTTTCTGCCACCTAATAAAAAATAACATACATTTAGTCATTTAGCAGATGCTTTTATCCAAAACGACTCACAAAGTAGAAGATCGTCATCATTTGTAATGATATAAACTCGCAATTCTCTGTAATGACATAAACTCATAAAGATATAAACTCGCAATTCTGAGAACATATCAGTCTTTTTTTCCCTCAGAACTGGACTTTATATCAAGCAATTGTGAGAAAAAAAGGCAGAATTGTGAGATGAAAAGTCGCAATTACCTTTTTTATTTTTTATTCAGTGGCGGAAACGGCCTTCCATACCATTGACCTCCATAGTATGCAAAAAAAAGAAAGAAAATACTATGGAAGTCAATGGCTATTCTAATTACAATTCTTCAGTTTTATTTGTTTGCTTGTTTTGTACTCTGTTGTTGTGCTTACAAACACTGTTATATCTGCAGCTGTTGTTCTTGGCTCTGTCATTCTGATTGTTTGCTCCTCAGGTGGAGAATAAAGAGGTGAAGAAGCGGATCCTGAACGACCCGGTGACCTACCCAGAATCCTTCAGTGAGAAAGCCAAGTCCATCTGTGAGGCTCTGCTGGCTAAAGAGGTGGACAAGAGACTGGGCTTCAAGAGCGGCTCGTGTGACGAGCTGCGCGCGCATCCCTTCTTCAGCGAAATCAACTGGAGGAAACTCGACGCAGGTGTGAAGATGATGAGAGTTTAGAGCAAACACAAGCATGATTAGACCTTTACCCTACTGATCAAACGTTTGAAATCAGTACGGTTTTTAAAAATGGTTTTGAATCTCTTCTGCTCAGCGAGGCTGCATTTATTTGATCAAAATTACAGTAACAATTGTGAAATATTTTTACAATTTAAGCTAGCTGTTTTCTATGTGAGTATCTGTTAAACTGTAATTTGTTCCTGTGATCAAAGCTGCATTTATTTGGTCAAAAATACAGTAAAAATTGTAAAATATTTTTTACAATTTAAGCTAGCTGTTTTCTATGTGAATATCTGTTAAACTGTAATTTGTTCCTGTGATCAAAGCTGCATTTATTTGATCAAAAATACAGTAAAAATTGTAAAATTTGATCACAGAAATAAATTACATTTTAACAGATATTCACATAGAAAACAGTTATTTTAAATAGTAAAAAATATCCAAAATTTTTACTGTATATTTGATCAAATAAATGCAGCTTTGATCACAGAAATAAATTACATTTTAACCGATATTCACATAGAAAACAGTTATTTTAAATAGTAAAAATATTCACAATTTTTACTGTATATTTGATCAAATAAATGCAGCTTTGATCACAGAAATAAATTACAGTTTAACAGATATTCACATAGAAAACAGTTATTTTAAATAGTAAAAATATTCACAATTTTTACTGTATTTTTGATCATATAAATGCAGAGATAAAACCTTACCGGACACTAGTGCAGATCCTTCAGATCTTGTCTTCTGAGTGCACTAACGCCACACTGATGCCCTGTATACAGGGATTCTGCCGCCTCCTTTTGTACCGGATTCCAAGACGGTCTACGCCAAGAATCTGGACGACGTGGGCGCTTTCTCCACGGTGAAGGGGGTCTGTCTGGAGGACGATGACAAGACGTTCTGCGATGAGTTTGCGTCGGGAAACATCCCCATCCCCTGGCAGGAGGAGATGATCGAGACGGGCATCTACGGCGAGCTGAACGTGTGGGGTCCAAACAGCACGGTGCCCAACGACCTGCGCAGAGAATCCATCCTGGAGTGTTAAACTGTAATTTGTTCCTGTGATCAAAGCTGCATTTATTTGGTCAAAAATACAGTAAAAATTGTAAAATATTTTTTACAATTTAAGCTAGCTGTTTTCTATGTGAATATCTGTTAAACTGTAATTTGTTCCTGTGATCAAAGCTGTATTTTCAGCATCATTACTCCAGTCTTCAGTGTCACATGATCTTCAGAAATCATTCTAATATGCTGATTTGCTGCTCAAGAAACAATTCTGATTATTATCAATGTTGAAAACAGTTGTGCTGCACAATATTTTTGTGGAAACCATCATGCATTTTATTTGTCAGGATTCACAGATGAACAGAAAGTAAACAGCATTTATTTGAAATAGAAATCTTTTGGAACATTAGAAATGTCACTTTTGATCAATTCAATGCGTCCTTAATAAATAAAAGCATTAACGAATAAAAAAAATTCTTACATTTCCAAAAATTTTGAATGAAAAGTATCAGAGTTTCCACAAAAATATTGTGCAGCACGACTGTTTTCAACATTGATAATAATCAGAAATGTTTCTCGAGCA